GGCCTGCTTTATATGGCTTTTCACATTTTCTGGGGAAAGATAGTGTGAATTTTGAAAACAAAGTCAGGTCTCTCTGACTTTCAGCTGCCCCATTTCTCAGGCTAGAAAAAAACCACAACTCCTTGGAATAAACAGCTTTTCTTTCACACACATCCATTTTCCCTGCTTCATTCCATGTCTGCGATTCACTCTAGAACTGAAATCTCTCCATGTTCTCCATCTCCCAGATGATACTGTCCCTGACCCTATCTGTGCTGTTCCTAAAATGAAATTTCTAATGTTTTGTTGTGCTCTGTTTTACAACAAAATTAAAAGACTCATCATTTATTATTACACTGAAAGTTCCAAAAGCAAGCACTCAATGAACGTTTTCCTTTAGATTCTACGAGCAAAAAGACATTTATAAAAAGAAGAAAAAGAACCTCAACATCTAGAAAAGATGCAGGTTTCGAGTAGATGGAAAATGAAAACAGCAAGGAATTGAAAATGTATTTACCTTAAGGATATCATTATATACAGCAGAAGTTTCTAAAATTATGCTGTTCAATACATTAATTACAAGCTTTATGTGGCTATTTAGATGTAAATGAATTAAGAGTCAATGCAATTAAAGTTTCAGTTGCTTACACTCACTACATTTCAAGTGCTGGTTTCACACATGATTGCAGATCAGACAGCAGAGGAGATTATTCTCATCAATGTATAGAATTCTAAAGGACAGTGACAGTTTTAGACATTACTATAATAAATGCTAAATGCAAAGGTCAACTAGTTATATGTGAGCTTCCCAGAAACTATATGGTGAGTCTAATGTATGTAAGAAAAGATATGACTTACAGTTCCTAAAACAACTCAAATGTGAGACTGACTTCAAACATGCTTTCTAGGGGCTGGAGAGCACAGGGGTTTATGTACTTTCCTTGAAGACAGCTGACCCCAACACCACATATGGTTCCCCAAGTGACCCCTGTGTAGAGTGCCAGGAATTAGCTCTAAGGACTGCTGGCTATTACCTCAAAAATAAAAAAAATAAGCAAAAAAGATGAACAAAAAAACTTTTTAGTTTACCTTAATGAAATGATCTTTACTGTTGGTAATACAAACAGATGAGACACCTAAATAAGAATGATTAAAAAACCTATACTAGGCAACTTTATCTGTAATTGCAGAAGAAAATCAAGTTTCCTTTTATCTGTATACTAATTATTCTCAAGATTCCAATACTCCAAGCTGCATAGATTCAGAACCTTATATAGAGAATGTAGCCTATAAACATTTGTTGCATTAGTGATTCAAGTTGTGCAATTTGAGAACCCAACTGCAGCCATTCTCAAGACCACTCTCCATAAGCTTGGACGAGCCTCACCCATGAGAGTACCTGCAGAAAAGCTCAGGTATGCGAGGCCTGTGACTGAGACCTGCAAGATCGCTCTGAATGGCATTGGGCCTCCTCCCCACAGCTCCCCAGTTTTCCAGAAGTTTGGCAGTCACATCCACAAGCTTCCACCAGTGCCATATAATCTCGTCAATGGCTAAGTTCTATGAAATAAAGCTCCCAGAAGAGAGCAACACAGACCACAGCATGACCTGGAGCGTGCCGCGACTACCCATTCTCTAGCCCACTGATGTAACAAAAGTAGTACAAATTTGTTTGGTTTTATACATGCTTGTAATATCTATTTTTTTAAGTGAATCATCATGATGTACAGTTACAGACTTACAAACTTACATGCTTACATTTCAGTCATACAATGATCGAGTACCCATCCCTTCACCAGTGCCCATTCTCCACCACCAATGATCCCAGTATCCCTCCCACCACCCCCATGCCATCCCCTCCCCCCCCCCCCCCACTCTGCCTCTGTGGCAGGGCCTTCCTTTACACTCTCTCTCTCCTTATGGGTGTTGTGATTTGCAATAAAGGTTTTGAGTGGCCATCATTCCATCTATAGTCTACTTTCAGCACACATCTCCCATCTCAAGCGGGCCCTCCAAGCACCTCGTACTTGGTGGTCCCTTCTCGATCTGAGCTGCCTTTTCCCCCTGCTTGTGGGGCCGGCTTCCGAGCCATGGAGCAATCCTCCTGATATTCATCTCTACTATTCTTGGGTGTAAGTTTCCCATTCTGTTACTTTATATTCCACAAATGAGTGCAATCTTTCTATAGACATTTTTTTTTTAATATGTGCTGACTTTTTTTTTAAAAATATAGAACAGTGTTTAAAGAGGTCACTTAAATCTCTCAGTGCCTAATTGCTTCACATAATGGGTCAAATATAACTACTTCCAGAGAAATTCTTGTTTCTTTAAATTTTGGTCTACTTCACTAGTTTTATTTTTCTATTATTTTCAGGATAATTTTATATTCTAATCAATCTGAACCTTTTTCTTCTTCGAATATAGCATTTTCTTCTTCCACGTTACCTTTCAAACAAGTCTTTAACTACTTCTTAATTTTCAATTCACCTATAGTTCTTGTATTTTTAGAATACCTTTTAGTTACGCAGTATTTCTCTCATTAGTGCAGTTTACCTCACATGGCCAATAGGTGTAACATTTCTGTATCCAACATCTACCTCCACCACTAGTTTTTGTTTGTTTGTTTGTTTGTTTATGACTGGAGGGGCTGAGATCTCCAAGTCTGCTCAGATCCGGGCTGAGCATCCTCCACCCAGATCCTCCATCTTCCAGTAGGTAGGGGTCACACCCACCAACTGCCCCCCCCACCTCCCATCCCCCCTGGGCCATGTAATCCCATCAACAGCCAAGACCCAGGGACTATAAAACCCAGCTCCCGGAAGCACGTGGCCTCATTTGCAGCCGCGCAACATCTTATTATCTCACTCTTGCTTTGGATGCTTGTAATATCTTATATGAGTGCTTAAATGGCTCCAGGGTGAAATATAACAACCTTCACACACTTTTCTTTTATGTTGGTGGGAAGGTGCATTGTGGTGGAATTGGTGTTTGAATATTATCTGTAGTGAACTATTGTGATCAACTTTATAAAAATAAAATATATTTTATAAAAAGTCGTGCAATGCAACACTGCAAGGGTGGGTGGATGGATGGATGGATGGATGGATGGATGGATGGATGGATGGATGAATGGGTTCCAAAGCAGAGCTAGCTGTAAAACAAAAAAAAGACCTAGAGTCACAGTTTTAGAAGTAAAACTGTAATCATGGAACTGCTAGGGGTAATTTTTCGATTACTAATTTCTCAAAAATCATATGAAGCTTCCCTTATAGTTTTCTGAATAATTTCCTCCCTAAATTAAAGGATGCTGATATCTCTCACTTTTTTTACAATTTAAATTTTTTTTTGGTTAAAATTATTTATTTATTTATTTATTAGAGAAACACCATGAGATACAGTTGTAGACTTACAATTTTTTTGTACTTGGGTTTCAGTTATGAAATGATCGAGTACCCATTCCTCCACCAGTACCCATTCTCCACCACTAATATCTCAGTATCCCTCCCACACCCCCACTCTCCCCCTCCACCCCACCCTGCCTCTGTGGCAGGGAATTCCCTTTTTGCATTCCCTTTTGTTCTCTCCCTCCTTTTGGGTGCTGTGGTTTGCAAAAGAGGCATTGAGTGACAATCATGTTCAGTCTATAATCTATTTTCTTTTCTTTTTTTTTTCTTAAATTTTTAAGAGTGAAACACCATGAGGTACAGTTGTAGACTTACAAATCTTACAAATTTTTGTGCTTGGGTTTCAGTTATACAATGATCAAATACCCATCCCTCCACCAGTGCCCATTCTCCACCACCACCAGACCCAGTATCCCTCCCACCCCCCATCCCCCATTCCCCCCTACCTCTGTGGCAGGGCATTCCCTTTTGTTATCTCTCTCCTTTTGAGTGCTGTGGTTTGCAAAAGAGACACTGAGTGGCAATCTTGTTCGACCTATAGTCTACTCTCATCACGCATTTCCCATCCTGAGAGGAACCTCCCAACACCCTTTATTTGGTGCTCCCTTCTCTATCTGAGCTGCCTTTTCCCCTAGCATGTGCGGCTGGCCTCCAAGCCATGGAGTAATCCTCCTGGTACTTATCTCGGCCATTCTTGGGTGTTAGTCTCCTATTTTGTTACTTTATGTTCCCCAAATGAATGCAATCTTTTTATGTCTGTCCCTTTCTTTCTGACTCATTTCGCTTAGCATGATATTTTCCATGTAGTACCACTTGTATATGAATTTCATGACTTCATCTTTTCTAACAGCTGCATAGTACTCCATACAATTTAAATTTATTTGAAGATAAAAATTGACCACTCTTCTATCATCTCCATATAGAATAAAACAAAATTGCTGGAACTACTTGGGACATTTCCTATGATATCATTGGCTGTTTTACAGGGTCCCCATTTTACTTCTTAAAATTAAGTAAGGTTACATGAATGCCATCTAAAAACACTTGCTCTACTGCACAGAAGTTATTCTCCACCTTCAACTAGGAACTGAATAAATTTAGGTGTGAGGGAAACTGCCCTATCCACCATATGGAATGATAAATCACTTGTCACTTATCCCGTTGATCATCAATTTGCTCGAGTGGGTTCCAGTAACGACTCCATTCACCCTGGTTGCATACTAGCATAGCCCAGTGGCGTATTGGGGACTCGTTCAGGGTCAGGGGAATGAGGCCCATTATTGTTACTGTTTTTGGCATACAGAATACGCTACGGAGAGCTTGCCAGGCTCTGCCGTGAGGGCGGGATACTCTCGGTAGCTTGCCGGGCTCTCTGACAGGAACAGAGGCTTTTGCGGCAGCCTCTAATTGCTTTTACAGGTGTTGCTCTCCTCTGGAAGCTTTGTTTTATAGTTTCTGGATCTTGGCCGTTGAGATAAATCACAAATTCGTAAAATTTTTTATTTGAGCTTTCTGGTCACTTTCTCTGAAAACTGTAGAGTAACCTTTATCAGATACCTTTCTGCATCTCCCACTCCTCCCACAATCATTTTCATTTTAACCATCTTTATTACTTACAGAAGCTTCACTGACTCCAAAGATATCTCTGACATCCCTCACAGACTGCTTGTTCTTTTTCCTCAATGTCTGAGTGTAAGTATTATATCTCTTTTTGACTGCAGCTGCTTGAGTTCGAGTCAATGTCGAGAGCAAGGCTTTGCCATCCTCCTCTTCACCACCCGAAATCAGGGTAGATAAACCCACATCCTGCAGCCACTCAGCTTCAAGTTCTCCCTCTGTAACATAACATTGTCATGAAGTTAGAATGTCACATGTATGATTAGATAGCATGTATACATGTAGTTCTGTATAGTGCCAACAAGTAAGAAATATCGGTTAAGGGGCAGGAATATGGCTCAGAAAAAAGCACATGCGTTGCATGCATGAGATCTGGGTTTGATCCCTGAAATATGAAAGAAAGTGGTGGGAGGAGTGAGGGAGAGAGAGCAAAAGAAAGAAAGAAAGAAAGAAAGGAAGGAAGGAAGGAAGGAAGGAAGGAAGGAAGAAAGAAAGAAAGAAAGAAAGAAAGAAAGAAAGAAAGAAAGAGGACGGGAGAAAGGAAGGGAGGGAGGAAGGGAGGTAGGAAGAGGGAGGAAGTAAGAAAGGAAGGGAAGGACTGGGGGAGGGAAGAGGAATGAGGGAAGAGGAATGAAGGAAGGAAGGAAGGAAGGAAGGAAGGAAGGAAGGAAGGAAGGAGAAAATATTATAATACATATTATAATATATAATAAAACATCCTTTCTGACACAATAATAGCGAGACAGGCTAATGTGAATGATTAAAAAAATTGACTTTTTAAAGTTAGTCAAATTTACAGTATTTGGCAGAATAGTCTAGAAAAATAGAACTAAATGGAAGATTTGGTAAGATCTTTTTTTCTTGCTATCAAAGTTCATTATATTGAACAATAACGCAAAAAGTGATAAACAAGAACAAACTAAAACCATAACAAAAGTGTGGCACAAGAGACATATGTTTATTCACTCAAATTTAGGTTCAAGTTTTAGTCCTACCATCTACTAGCAGAATGTTTTAGGTCTGTTTCAAGTAATATTTATTTAAATTCCCCTTGTCCACCTGGCAAAATTAAGATAATATAAAAAGCATTAAGTGACAATGAGGATTGCTTTCTCAATAAATTTACAACAGAATCTAAAACTAAGGATGCATTCTACAGATAAAAAGTTTGCTTCTTCTTCTTTTTTACTGTAGATATTAAGGACTATTTTGGGGTTTTGGATAGATAGAACAGCACATAGGGTGCTTGCCTTATATGCAGCCAACCCAACTTCCATCCCCTGCACCCTATCTGGCCTCCCAGCCTAGTATTCCTAAGTGAAGAGATCCAGGAGTAAACCCTGACCACTGTAAAAGGTGTCCCACCTCAAAAAAAAAAAAGTAATTTTTTCTGAAAGCAAAAAATTTTTAAGAATTTTATTTCAACACAATGAGAGTCAATTGCAATTACAAGTCAGAAGTGCAGAAATAATAAAGATTAGCATCATTCTGTAACAGAATATCTTTTATACATACATTTCTGGGAACTATGCTAAATAGGCACTATTTAAGGAGCAGATTAGAGTGATTTGTAAACAGTCTGTCAAAGCATTAGTTTACTGTCTGGGATACTGCTTATATTATTACATCATTGATTTCATAAACAAAACCTTCTAATGTGTTTCACAGGTCTATTTTCTTAGCTAGACAAATCTTCTATTTGCTCTCTAATTTTATTGTTCATTTGCCTTTAAAAACTGACCCTTCAACAGAAAACAGAAAGGTGAATTTAAAATTAGCGGCACAATCTAAAATAATATACCTATAAATGACTGAATTGTGATTTATAAGTCTTCCTTTACTTGAGCTTTAGTAAGATTTTCATTTCCTATTTAGAAAAATTTGGAAAGGGATGGGGAAGTCCAAAGTGGTGCTCAGGGGGCTGGGGCCCACCTGAGATCTCAGCCAACCAAGACTGAGGATGAGATGTTGCCTGGGCCCTTAGGTGCTAGAGTCACTGGGGTCACTCCAAGTGCATGGAGCCTCTTGGGAAGCACCTGGTGATTCAGGGGACCATGTCATGCTGGGAATCAAACTATGTCTGTAGCATGGCGGAATCAAACTATGTCTGTAGCATGGCTAGTAGATGCTCTAACCTTTGTAATATCTCCCAGCCCTCGTATGAAAGTTTTGAAAATTGGATTTCCTCCCTCCACCTCCAAGATAGGCTATTTATTGATGGCTGTGCCTCTCTAAAAGTGTTCTGAAGGCTTGAGAGTTGGTTGTTTTTTTCCTTGTTAGGGGAGATGGGGGAGGTCATGCCTGGCAGTGCTCAGGGCTTACTCCTGGCTCTGCGCTCAGGAATCACTCCTGGTGGGGTTTGGGGGACCCTATGGAGCGCTGGAGATTGATTCTGGGTTGGCTAACTACAAGGCAAGTATTCTACGGTAGGATTACTCCAGACCCAAATTGACACTTTCTAAGGTCTTACGGAAATGAGTAAATATACTGAAGCAAGTTCGATTTCTCACTAATGGAGCCATAAATGCAGAAAAAAGGAATAAAACAAGAAACCCTGCAATGCTGGTTTAGAGTGAGATTGGAAGTTATGAGACTGGAAGTTATCAATTTGAACTCATCCTTTTTAATATGTTTATCTAGTAACCCATATTAGCTAGCAGGGAAAGACAAAGTGGAAGATAAAAGGTATTTTCCAGCTGGGGATATGTCTCAATGGTAAAGTACAGGCCTTACATGCATGAGATTTGCGTTAGATACATGGGGGGGGTGCAGAGAGAGAGAAAGGGAGAGTGAGAGCGCGTGCGCACGAGAGAGAGAGAGAGAGAGAGAGAGAGAGAGAGAGAGAGAGAGAGAATGGAGTAACAGTACAGCCAGTAGGACGTTTGCCTTGCACATGGCCAAGCCGGGTTCAATTCTGAGCATCCCACATGGTCTCCCGGGCACCGCCCTGGAGTAATTTCTGAATGTAGAGCCAGGAGTAGCCCCTGTGCATCACCAGGTGTGACTCAAAAAGAAAAAAGAAAAGGTATCTCCTCTATGTGTCTTCCTCATCTAAAAATTCAAAATATCAAGAACTAAGTAGAAACAACTAAAATACATTTCACAGACAGAAGGCAGTTCTCTTGAATGGATTCTCATTAAATGTGGTATGACTTTTCATTTCTGATTGTATATAAAATACATGAATTGTGACTGATTTAAAGGATTTTTCTTTAGTTCTAAAACAGAGATGTAGAAAAGAGAAGGAAGAATGAAATGATTAAGGTTTCAATTTATCTTGTTAGTCATTTTGCGTTTAATCATTGGCTAAGGAAAACATTCTTAAGTGGATACTTACCAAACCCCCTTTGGTCTTTCTCAGATGTCTTTTGTGTTTACTTGTAAATAGGTAACTAGAGGAGATAACCTATGCTTTTGATCTCTTTTTATAAAATAAAAAGCACATTATTTATTTAGGTTGTCTATTTTCTTGTACTTACTTTCACTGAAAACAAGCATATTTGACACGGCCTTTATTTTGTGGAATATAATCTTTCTCTGAATACATGAATACCGGTAAGTACTTGGAAGTCGTATTTCTTTCCTCCAAGTTTATACAAGCATTTTCCCCTCTCCTCTCTGCCATTCTTCTCCACATGTCCCTCTCTCATAACAAAGAGCAAAGTATATAGATGTAGAAGTCACCAAAATTAGCGTATTGTTTGCTAGATGACAATGAGTCCAATTAACAGAGGGCACAGCATGATATGGGAAGGGTAGGATGCTATGGACCTCCTTCAATGTCTTGCCATCCTGGATGAAACCTTGAGCAGACTGGCAGATGGAAGTCAGTATGATTAATTCTAATCTATTAATTAATTGATATTAATTAATTATCTGGGCAGAACCAGGGGACACATGCAAAGAAAGTCAGCATGGAGAAATACATCCGGCAGCTTACCATCCAGAGGTTTGAATTCAGTTGGCAGCTGCTCTTCCTGTCTTGCCATGCTATTTTCCTTTATGCTTTCTATTTCCCGCCAGAAATCTTCCATGGAGGCACTGTCTATGGAGGCCTGTGAGTTGGAACGGTTGAAGATAGGAGAATGCAGAGATTCATTGGAGAGCATCCTGTTAATTCTTCGGCAACGAGGAATGGATTTTCTGAGGAGAGGACAACATCTGAATGAAAATCAGTGTCTTTTATGTCTTAAATCATAAAACTAAATTTAGGTTAGAATCAGTGGAGAAATGAAGCCAGTGAGGTAGGAGTTTAGGGGATTAATCAACAGTCAGTGATTAACTCCTTTTCATTCTCTATAATTTATAATGATTCAGTAGCTACAAATCAATCGTCATGAAAATACTTTTAAAATAGTTTTTTTTCACTATTTTTCACAGATTAAGTGCCTTCATTTAAGTAGTAATAGTCAAAATTGGCCACTCTGCAATGTTTCAGATGGTGGCAGAGAAAAGTGCAGACATGCATTCAAAACAAAAACACATTCCAGATGATCTCACTTGTGGTACACAGAATAGCAGGACAAGGGGGAGGAAGATATCGAAAGAGGAAACCCAGGTTACCTAGGGCCCTAGATTATAGAAATGAGAAAAATAGGGAAGGAAAGAAAATCCAAATAGTAAGGGATGGGTGGAAGCCGTTCATCGATTTGTTTGAGCAGGCCCAGTAACGTCTCCATCGTGAGACTTGTTGTTACTGTGTTTGGCATATTGAATACATCTAGCACAGCAGGTAGGGCACTTGCTGTGCATGCAGCCAACCTAGGCGACCTGGGTTCGATTCCTCCTCCCCTCTCAGAGAGCCTGGTAAGCTACCAAGAGTATCTTGCCCACACAGCAGAGTCTGGCAAGTTACCAGTGATGTAGTCAATATGCCAAACAATATATTTATATATGTATGTACATATATATACACACATAAACACATATATGTATATATACATGTGTGTGTATATATATATATATATATACATACACACACACACACACACATATATAAAACCCAAAGGCCAACAGCAATGTGAGGGGAAGACCCAAATTACTACAGTAACTGAACTTGGAAACTCGTCTGTCATGGAGGTAGGATTGGGGTGTGAAGGAACCCAGGGATGCTCATGGAGGAAGGGTCACATGTGGGGTTCTTGGTGTTGAGACATTGCATGCCTGAACTCTATCATAAGCAACTTTGTAAATCACAATGCCTTAAAAAAAAAATCTCCTTTTTCAAAAAAGAATTATCAACTTTTTGGGGACAAACATATCTGGATGAGTCCTTATTTTTCAATTTAGGGATCCAAATGCTGTCCCTTCATTTCAGGATGGAATAGAAACCACGACTACATTATCTAACTGTATTCTCAAGGTCATCCAAAAGTTTGATGAACCTTAATTGGAAGCATTATACTTTAGAATAAATAAAGCATCACTTAATCACTTAAAGCATAAGCTTTAAAATTCAGAACAATACTATAGAAATGTTACATTAAAAATAAAGCACAGGAGCACAGAGTTAGCTCAATAGACTGGAGCAGATAACTGTGCTTATAGGGGCCTAGGTTGAATTCATAATAATGGTCCCCCAAGCATCTAGCATGATGTAACCCTTAAGCACTGCTGGGCATGATCCCCCCAAACAAACAAATAAACAAGCAAAACAATTATTATACAATTCTTGTTGGAAAACAACACTAGATATATTAGATTTTAAGTGCATGAAAACTATACTCAAAGTAACACTAAAAAAAAACTATTTCATTTTCCCTATTATCTTTTTATAAAAAATGAATATTATACTAACTACTAGATATCTATAACTATCTACAATGAATGTTTTATAACTTCACAGCAACATAAACAACTTACAAGAATTTAATTCTCTCAACCAATTAACTAATTAATTAATAAGTCAACTAATTAATTGGTCATATTAATTGATTCTCTACATGTTTACTTACAATACTTACAGTTGCTACTATTGTTCAAAAAGTCAGTTACCCAAAAGAATTTTAAAAAAATTAAAAAGTCAATCATCTTATGAGAACTGGAGGTTATCAGGCTGAGAAAAATTATAATTTATGACCATAATTTTCTACTATATGTGTATAATTTTAATAACATGATTTTTCACATTTATCCCTTGAAAAATATCTAGGGGCTGGAGAAACAATAAAGAAGGTAAAGTGCCCCCAGACCCGCATGCCTTGCATGCAGCCCACCCAGATTCAGTTCCTGGCACCACCCTGAGCACTGCTGGGTGTGGCCCCCAAACAAACAATCAAAATAATCTAGCTGTTACAGTTGGGAAGAAACTCAACCACTGCCTAACCTATATCTGGAAGTAGAATTTATATAGAACATTAAGACATTTTGAACCTTTTAAAATGTACCATTGGCTTTGCTAACCACAACTGCAATGGTTCTGAATTTCTCAAAGATATTTTTCAAAGACATGCTTCTTGCTAAGAAATATGCACTCCCATATTATCTCATAGTTTATGAAGAATTTCCCATTTAACAATTTGTTATCATAAACACTACATCATGTTGTCCTTAACATCATGAAATAGCCAAAGCAAGTATGACATGTCTTATTGCACAATGAGGGGAATTGTTATGAAATCTACAGTGGGGGGACATGAATCTCACTCCCATTTTGATAAAATGCAATTTTCCCTTTTCTTCTCCTCGCCCCCAGACCCGCTGTCCTACCATGGATCAAATCTAGGGTCTCATACATCCAAGGCAAGCATCCTGTCACTGAGCTAAAGCCATAGCCCCAGATTATTTTCACTGACTTCATGGGTCTGCTTTGTCTGCTCTGGAATTTCTCCAGTTTTACCTTATCTTACTCTCTTCAGATATTATCACTAAGCATGCTAATCTCTCTTTCTCTAGAATTAAGGATCTTTCTTAGGAAATATTCACTTACTTTATTTTTTTTTCTATTTAAAATAGTCCTATCTATACAGCAAGATGCTTCTCATCATTCATTCAATGCTTAACATAACTGTCTTTTCCTTAGGAGATATTTTTTTGCCACCCTAAGATAACACAACATTCCTCCAGCTAACCAGTACCTCAGCTTTCTACTTTCCCTTCTTCTCATTCACCAACAGTACACATTTACTCATTTACTCCATGCTGGATGGGGGGACAACCTTTCCCAAAAGAATACAAAGCAATCATGTTCCCAATTATCGCCAGGTCTCTTACAAATAACAGATAGGAAATTCAGACATATAAGTGAATGACTAATGACTAACGATGGTAGAACCAAGTTATGAATTAAAACCTTCCTGATCCTCTCTTTACAGCAGTCTCTCTTAATATCAAAAGTTCCCTCAGTATTTTTGTGTCCTCTTATAGCTATACATATTTTTATACCAAAAAATATAACACAGTGATTTAGAGAAAAATTCTCAAGATAACTGTCCTTGATTGGAATGTGAGTTCTGCCATTTCCAGGATTTATATCATCTTAAGCAATGCATCAAACCTCTTTGCCTCTATTTCTTATTCATAAAAAAACCAACAATTACATTTTATTAGATTATGAGGAGTGAGTTGATATGTATGTAATATAGGGTACAAATCAATGTGCTTAGCTATTACCATAAATTAATTTATAGCATACTCACAAGATACATAGAAAAATATCAGAGGGTACTAATATATCCCTATAATCTAATGAAACAACTAAAATTGCATTGACCAGAACTCTATGAGTCAATCACATTCTCCAAAACCCTGAACCCAGAGAGGTCATCTGACATATTTGTGGCCAAAGTTACACACGAAAATTCTTCCCAGTGGTTCTTGTGAATTTGTTTGTTTATTTATTTATTTATTTTATAATGATCCTAGCCCCCTTCTCTTTCCCCATCCCTCACCCCCCTTCTTGGAATTTGGGCAAAAGGACTGGTGCTTCAGAAATCAACATCAAATGCTGTCAGTCTCTGAATTTATAAAACTATGAGAAAAAATAAACCTTCTAAATAAAATATATACCCAACCATTATGGTTGTTATTATTACTCACAGCACAAATCTTCCTGTGATATAATGAAAGTAATATTTTTTAAAATTTTTAAAATTTTTTTTATAATTTTTTTATTTGTTTCTTTCTTTCTTTTTTTTTTTTACAGTTGTAGATTTACAATTTTTTGTGCTTGGGTTTCGATTATACAATGATCAGATACCCATCCCTCCACCAGTGCCCATTTTCCACCACCATGGATAATATCCCCCCACCCCCATCCCCCCATTCCCCCCTGTCTCTGTGGCAGGGCAATCCCCTGTGTTCTCTCTCTCCTTTTGGGTGTTGTGGTCTGCAAAAGAGGCATTGAGTGGCAAACATGTTCAGTCCATAGTCTACTTTCGACATGCATCTCCCCTCCTGGGAGGATCCTCCAAACATCCTTTATTTGGTGCTCCCTTCTCTATCTGAACTGCCCTTTCCTCTAGGATACCTGGCTGGCCTCTAAGTTATGGAGTAATCCTCCTGGTGCTGATCTCAGCTATTCTTGGGTATTAATCTCATACTTTGTTACTTTATATCCCCCAGATGAATGCAATCTTTCTATGTCTATCCCTCTCTTTCTGACTCATTTCGCTTAGCATGATACTTTCCATATTGTACCACTTGTATCTAAATTTCATGACTTCAATGAAAGTAATATTTTAATAAATCATTTAGGGTGGGGTGAGATGAGACATTACCACTCCACTGAGGGGAACACTCAAATAAGATTAAGCAATCTACAACCTCTCTACCGAAGATAGGCAGGATCTAAGGTAATGATTTTCAATTTTAGGAACTACCCAATTATTAGCCCAATTCTGTGTCTGGTCTTGATAAGCATGCAAATGGAATTAAACTTCATTCTTTCCTTTTTTATTAGTATTGTTAATTTTTACTTGAATCGCCATGAAATACACAGTTACACAGTTGTTTATGATTGATTTTCAGTTGTACAAAGTTTCAACATCCATCCCTTTACTAGTGCACATTTCCCGCCACCAGTGTCCCCAGTTTCTCTTCTCTCTACCACCCCACCCTTGCAGCTTGCCTCTATGGCAGACACTTCTCTCTGTCTGTCTCTTCCTGTCTCTGTCTTTTTGCCTCCTGTCTCTCTAACTCTCTCT